CCCATTTCTTTGTACATGCAGCCATTTTCCCCACAGGTGTTTTACTTCCACAGAAAATGACTATTTCATTTACAAATCGCAGTGTGTTAGAGCTGGAAGGGACTCAGACTCCCAGGCCATGAAGGAGGGCAGGGAGGGGGATAGGAGGAGCAAGGAGAGGGGATGGACTTGCCCAAGATCACTCAGCTAATTAGGGTGGAAAGTATTCTAGAACACAAGTTTCCCAGCTCCTAGGCTAATTATCCCTCCAATGTACTGCTGCAGGGGGAAAAAAAAAAAAGAAAATCAGACTCTTTAAAAAGAAAAAAGAAAAAGAAAGGAAAGGTAAACTGCATAGAGGAAGCCCCTTTAAAGAAGGAGGGTAGTCCGACTATTGTCAGAACCACTGATCTAAGATCAGTTTCTGCCCATTTCATAAGCCTGAACAGCCACTAAGTTTCCTAGGGATGATCTATTAACAGGTGCATTTTAAGCCTTTGGGTGATTTGCTTAAAATGGGAAAAAATTAAACATGCTGGCCAGGCTTGAAAAAAATCCCTTTCCATACTGAAAAGGATGGACAAGAGTAGATCTCCTACCTGAAGATGCAGGAACATGTAGCCCCCACCCCCACCCCAGCAACAGGCTATTTCCTGGTTGAGTTTAAAAATTCAATGACGTTCCTGTTCCAACCCACACATCTGTGTCACTGTCAGCGTCAGTGGCAGGAAAACAGACGAAGTCACCCTTTGCTAATGATTTCCTAACATGGAATTTCCTTGTATCTCCTGAAGCCTTTCTTCTTCTAAAGCCAAACTGTTTTTCCTCCTCTCAAACACATTGTACTGAAGGAAAACTGAAAATGGTCACGGCCGGAAGGGATGATTTCTGAGGAGATCTTATAAGGAAGAGCTGCAGATCTTTGTGATATTTTTAATATGTGTGTGTTGGGGTGGGGGGAGAGCTGCTAGTTCTTCTAAAGCCAATAGGAACAAAACAGAGAGATTTCCTCCTAGGCATCTGGAAATATCTCAGCCCCTCTCCTGCCTCCTTCCCAAGTTCCACTTGGAGCAACATTCTTTTATCAGTATTAAAGGGAACATCCGCACTGGCGTACTGTCGGTTGGCATGGGGAGCACCGGGAGAGAAGCCAAGTCAGCACCCAGAGTAGGGACAGGCGTGGGGAGAACCACCAAAACAGAAAACAATGTAGAAGCCCATCTCCTTTCTCCTCTGGGGAATATTCTATTTAATATGCAAACTGGTCATCAAGAGAACAGAGGGATGTTACTTTAAGGCAAAGAAGCTGATTAGCTGCTCAGGCTGGCAGCAAACAGCTGGTCTGTCCGGCAGGTTCAAGGCCATTTCTGCTACTCTCTTATGGAGGCACCATATGTTCCATCTCGCACATCAGCAGCTTTATTTTCCAATGATCTTGCTCCAGAAGGGAAGCACAAAAGGGGGAGGAGAAGGTAGAACCTGTGGTTTACCATTTGAGTACTTCCTTGTGGTTTTAGATGCAGTTGGGATGGGGGGGGGGTCCGGGACCTTAACGCTTCACCTTCGATTCCAAACACCAGAGAACAAATGTTTGACCAACACTGTCCACTAACCTCCAGAGATGGGAGTGGAGTGGATTAGGGGAAATAAATTCAAAAAGGCACAAATAATATCCCGCCCGAGATTAAAGGGGAAGGGGGAGGGAGGCGGCGAGAGAGCGGGAGGAATTCGACTTCGCTCTTTGGACCCCGCCCACTTCTCCCTATTTGTCAATTTTTCTTATTGTCAGTATTCCTTGTCCCAACAGAACAAAACTTTAGGAGAGGAGCGAACAGCTTTGGGTGGGTAGAGGCGGAGGCGGGGTTAGGCCGACAGGCGAAAGGTTACTTCTAACAGGTTTAACATTCCTCAGTGCAAGTCCGTGTTCCCATAAGTTTGGCGGGGCGGGGAGAGAGCAGGTGTAGGGGATGGAGCCCGCTAAATCCTCAATCCAACTAATGCCAGCGGCCCACGCGTGGTGGGCACCCCCAACTGTCCGGCACTGGATCCGTGCCGAGGCGACACACCCACGCACGGTCCCCACAGCCCGTCTAGGCTGCACGAACCTCGGAGGTGGCGGTTCCGACTCCCTCCCTGCCTCCAGACAAAGGGGAACCGCGGAGCGTTTGAGTCCCGGTGTGTGTTGTGGTGGGTGGGGGGAGAGGGTGGCCGGCAGGAGGGCACAGGAAGGAGTGAGTGTAGCCGCAGGGTGGCGAAAGCCTCACAGTCACTGCCGTCGTCTCAGCCACCCGCGGACGCGACAGCCGCCGGGAGCGGGGAGGTGAGGGGCCGGGGTTGCAAAGCGAAACCGAGGAAAGGGCGCCCCCTATGCCCGCGTCCGGCGAGCGCAGCGGCGAGCCGCGTCTGCCCTTCCCGCGGAGCGTGCTCGGCCTCTGGCCTCCGCGTCCTCCCGCTCGCCGCACCGCCGGCCGGGCCGTCCCGGCCGCTGGAGCCCCGGGTGTCCGCTTCGGGCAGGCGGGGCGCGCCATGGGCGCCAGGAGCCAGGGGCTCCCCACGCCTTCTGGGGTTCCTGGGGAAGGTTTCCGAAACACAACCCCCTCCCCCACCGCCTACACTTGCCCTCCTGTCCCAAGCGGCTCAAGGCCACTGGGAGGCAGCCGCCCCCGCCCCCCTGCCTCTGCGTCCCTTTCCCCCTTCCCTCTCTCCAGCCTCCAGGGAAACAAAGGCGCTTTTTATAAAGCGGATTGTTGGCGGCTGCGGCGGCAGGGGTAGGAGGGAGGGGGGATCTATAAAGACAAGAAGAGGTGGGGTGGGGGGAGAAGCTGCGCGGCCTCCGGGAGCCCCAAGCGGCCGGGTGGCCGGGCGGCCGGGCGGCCGGGAAGCCCCCGCCGGTGCGCGGCCCACCCCGCCCGGCCCGTGGGCACTCGGGCGGCGGCCCGCGCCTGCCAAGGGTTGGGCTGCGCCGCTGCGATGCTGCCCGCCGGCTCGCCGCAGCCCGGGAACACGATTGCTCGGGCCGCGGGGCCGGGGCGGTGGGGACCGCACAATTCCCGCGGGGGTCTCCCCTGGGAGACCTGGGCCCTCTTCCCCGCCAACTCTTTCGAAATTGCTTAGGCTCAGGGAGACTTTGCGTCTTTGTTCCAGCGCGGCTGCCTCTCGCTCGATCGGCTCGCTCGCCCTCGCAGACAATGTCCCGGAGCCGGCCTCGGTCGGCTACCCGCAAACGACATGTTCGCTGTAGACACGGCACCCCGGGGGGATTCCTTCTGCTGCCAAACAACGACGACAAGCCACCCCAGCAAGTGGAGTCCCTTCTCCCCCACGTCCCCCAGCCATCCTGCGCTCCCTCCCGCTCACACCCTCACACCCACACTCGGGGCGCCCGGCTCAGCCTCACGGAGCTGCGGGAGCGCGGTGGGGCTAAGCCCCCGGCCCGAGGTGCGTCAGTCTGCTCAGGTTCCGACGACTTCAGGGCAGTTTTCTGGCAAGCTAATCCTATTAGTGTCTGCTCAGTCCGCATTTAATCACCGATCAAAATCAGACGGTCCGGCCAGCTTTCCAAGTGGCTTCGGACACACTGCATCGGGACAGAGCCTCACCGAGCCAACTGGCCCAGAAAAGTATTTGGCGGCGCTCCGGGGGGCTTCCCGCCCGCCCTTGCCGGCGCCGGGCGCCGGGCTCTGCCGACGCTCCGAGGCCTGGGAGCTAGGAGCGCGGGGGCGCCGGGAGCTCCGGGCAGGAGCCCAGTCGGGGCTGCCTTGAGCCGCCAGCTCTGTTCGGGGCTGCTCTCCAGAGGAGGATTTGGCAGGGGAGGGAGCGCCAGGCAGCGGGCTCGGCGCACGCACACTCCACACTCCCGCTCAGTGGCGGCAAACCGGCTTGGGGTGTGTGTGTAGGGGGGGGTTGGAATCCTGTGCCCAGCGCCCACTGTCGACTGGCCCAGGCTCAGGGAGCTGGCATGCGATGGGAGCATCGCCGGTGGCATCCGGGCCGCCAGCGGCCCGGGGGGCACCAGAACGGAGTGGGAGCCTCCCGGTGAGCCGGGAGCAGCCCGTGTGGCTCGAGCCCCTCTGCCTTCCGCAACAGCCCCCCCCCCCTCGCCCCCGGTACTTAACTGCCCCCGCCCGGTTCCAGACACCCGATGGGCGCCAGGGAGCAGGCAGAGGCCGAAGTCCTGGGCGATGGGAGCTGCGCCCAGGCCGGCCCGGCCAGTTCGAGAGCGGGGCCGGCCGCGCGGAGCGCCAGGTGGGCTGTGTGCTCGGAGCAAACTTTGGGGTCCCCCAGCTCCTACGCGACGGGAACCACAAGTAGGGGCCACAAATGCACGCCGGAGCCCCCAGAGCAGCCGGACCTCCCGCTCCCGCCCTCAGTCTTACCGTGCTGCGGAGCTCCCTGGCGGCGGCGGGGGCAGTGCCCGAGGGGCGGGCGGCCGCCGGCGCAGGCAGCCTGGCCTCGGGCACTCGCTGAGCGGCCCGGCCCGGTTGCAGATCACCCCCTGGCTAGCGGCCGGTGCCCCCGCGCCCGCCCGCCGCGGGCTGCTTCAGCTCGCGGCCAAGTTCATGCCGGCGGCGCTGCAGTGGCGGCCTCAATCTGCTCGCTCCATTCCCACCGCCCGGCTCCGCGCCGCGCGCCCGGAAGGTGGAGTTTCGGGGGTTTAAGTTACTGATAGGCATTTCTCACTGCTGTGTCACTCGGGGAGGAGGAGACACGCACGCCGCACACTCACACACCCTCACACTCACGGCGACGAGCGGCTCCGGCCTTAAAGGGGAAGCCGCGCTGCCCCGCCCGCGACCCTGCCAGACCTGAGCCCCCGAAACGCCGAGTTTCCAGGCCGGATGGGGCCGGGGGCGGCGGAAGCGCGGCGACCACCCAAGGGGCCTCCCTGGCCCTCCTGCCACTCTTTGAAAGGGAAGACGGCCGCAGGATGGCTTCGCTGCGGTCGCCCCGTTTCTCCAGCGCACTGGAGCCAGGGCAACTGGGGAGTGCGGAAGGGAAGGAAGGGCCACGGTCTCACTTACCTCGGTGGCTCCGCGCGCAGCGGGAGGCGATGGGTGCCCTCGGCGGCAGGTGGCCCGTCTAGACCGTGCGCTGGTGGGGAGGAGCGAGAGCGGGGTGACCGAGGGCCCCTGGGCACGGGCGGATGGAGCTCGCCCGAGGGCAGCAGGCGGAGCCCCGCGCGCTTGGGAAATCCGCACGCGGCAGGTAGCCTTCCCGCGTCTGGGCAGAGCTGGCTGCTAAGCCGTGCGCGTCCCTGACAGACGGAGAGCGATCGGGAGAGCGGGAGAGCCAGCACTCACCAGCGACAGGGCGAGACAGCGCGCGAGACTGGCAGAGACAGAGAGGGACAGAGGGAAGGACGGAAACCAAGAGAGACACCGGCAGACCGAGAGAAAACGACGGAACGACGGAGACAGAGTGGTAGAGGGACGCCACGGGGCAGAGAGGGAGGGGTGAGAGAGCGAGAGCAGATCCCTGGAAGACACCAGAGCGTCACAGGGACCGGAGTCTCACCGTAAAGTAGCCTGTCCAATCCGCGCCCCCACACACCCCCTTCCCATTCTGAGCAGAAACTGACCCCAGAGCTGGCGGCCGGACCCCTCCCCCCCTCGGCCTGGGAGGGCGCTCACCTTCAGTGGTGGCTGCTGGGTGGGTAGCACCGTCCCACGCCTCTGCGAGCTGGCTCCCGCTCAGACAACCAAGTCGACCTGCTGTGAGGGCAGTGGGGACCAGTGCTCTCAGGTGGCGGCTACTGAACTGCACCGCGGCCCCCCCCCCCCCCCCCCCCCCGCCCCCCCCCTCCCCCCCCCCCCCCCCCCCCCCCCGCCCTCGCCATCCCCTCCTCCACTGCCCGCCCCCACCTCCGCCTCCGCGCAGACCCTGTCTGTGCTGCGGGCCGGTAAGCTCGGCCAGGAAGGAGCCCAGGCGCGCCAGCCAGTCTCCCTCCCCACTGGCCCGGGGCTGCGAAGCCCCTTCGCGAGCTACGCTGGACCGGCCCCCTCTCTGCAAGGGGTTATCCCAGGGCAGACACCTGCGGCTTCTGTAGGAACATGAGTTCCTTGTGAACCGCCCAGCGGGTCAGAGCGCGCTATCCGCCCTCTGCCCTGGCGCGGAGGCCAGCGGCTCCCCTCCCCCCATACTCGGGGGGCACTGGCCGGCGCCCCTTCTGTAGGGTTCCCGGCAGGACTGCGTTTCCTAACCTGGTTTTCCTGGGTGGTAGCAGCGGCGGGGACTGAGCTCAGCCCACGGACGCCGCGTCTGGTCCGACAGCAGCGCCTGCGAAAGCCCCAGAGCCCAATCACAGCTCCTGCCCGCACCTCTGAGTAGCGACCTGTCTCCACCACATCTGGTCGCATTCGGCCGCCGAGGACCAGGAATAAAGGGGTGGGCCCGCCGCCCACTCGGCCCCTCCTTCTCTCTGCGCCCACGCCCTCGGCCCCGCGGGAATCGCTGGGGCCCCTTATGAGAACCAACCAAAGTCCCTTCGTGGGCTACGTAGGCGCGACGGAGCTGGGCGCTCGCCTCCGAGAGCGTTTCCCAAAGTTCCCAGGTTGAGGAGCTGCGTCAGCGCCTACGGCGAGGCACAGGTGTCAGACCCCTTCTTCGCAGCCCGCGTGCGCCTGGGCGAGCAAGGCCCAAAGAGGCACCTTGCGGGTGCAAAGCCCAGCCGGGCTGTTGGGTAGTTCTCCACCTTGGCGGGGTCCAGCCGAGGCTGCTCTGGAAAGGGCCATGGGCCTGGAGTATTTACTGCTCTCTCGTGATGGAACTGATAGCAGTCCCTGCCTTCACCCCTGACAAGGCCTAAGTGGGCTCCTGGCCCCTGGCCTGTCCCTTCCTGCAAGGATGGGGAGTCATCCAATTGCCACCATGACCCCTTCAGCAAGAGAGAACTCTTGACAGAGTGTTGAAGAGAATATGATTAAACACAGCGGCCCCGGGCTGAATAACGGTCTATCAGCATTGCAGAGTGCTTTTAAAAATTCTTCCCACTCCTCAAAGTGCACTGGTCCAGGAGGGTGAAGATGGGGCTCTGTTCCCAGACACTTCCACTCCACTCTCATGTCGCTTCCCCTCTGCTTCCCCAGTGGGGTGGGTGATGTCCACACCCCCAGTGTACTGGGAGTTTGTGAGATGACAGGTGCACCTCTGTCAGTCAGCCCCCCTGCCTGGACCACCACTAGACCTCTCCAACTCCAACGTCTCCTCAAGTCGGCCACCTCAGTTCACAACACCTCCATCACTCAGTTGCCCCAGCTGGGTTCCCTGCTGTCTTCCTTGATTCTTCTCTTACGCTCACACCCCACATCCAGAGAAACGGACAATTCTGCTTCCATCTGTAATTGCATCCACACTCCCAGCCTTCTCTCCTTCTCGCCCTCACTCCCCGCCACCAGCATCTAACCCTAACAGGTGGCTCTGTTTCCTACCTCCCGCCAGTCGCCTCTTCCCCAAATCCCACTTAGATCCCTGATGTCTGTGCACCTGCCGTGGCTCCCTGTTTCACTTGGTGACAGGGAATTGCTTCTGGTGGCCTAAAAGGGCCTGTATGCCATGCTCCCCTCCCCACTCTGGATGGTATCATCTTCCCTCTTGCCCTCCCTCTCTCTGTAAGTGAGCTCCAGGCTTCCCAACTCTTCCCCAACACACCAAGCACATCCCTCCCTAGGGCCTTTGCACTGGCTTTTCCCGACACTGGAATGCATTTCCCCAGAAATCTAAGGGGATTTCTGGGGGAAATCCTGGCTCCCTCCTTTCCTTTAATATCAACACGAATGTCACCTGGCCTCCCTCTGTGACCTACTCCAGAACCCCTTTCACTCTCTGCTGTCTTCCCCACTCCTAGCACAGCGGTCCCTGGCAGGGAGTATCTGCTTGAGGAATGTTAGTTGGATTCTGTTTTCCCGGAACTTTTCAGGAAACTCTGGGGGCTACAGAATTGGACACATGCCCTGGGAAAGGGGTGTGTAACTGTGGTACATTTTAAGGAGTTTCATGACCTGAGCAAAGGTTAAGAAGGATGGAGGCCAGGCCAAGAGCTTTGCATTAGCACCATGAAGCTCACCTCAGCTCGGGTCACCCTGGGGCGCTGTGATCCAGATGTGTTGTGGTTCTTTCAGTTACTATAGGAAACAGAGGGCCTCTTGTGGTTATCACTTTGGGTATCCTGAGGCAGACGGAGAACTGGGTGAGGGCTTTCTCCTTGCTGAGGAGACTGGCTCTGTAATCTTTTTGCCACCCAAATGCAGACCAAGTCTGGAGGTAACAGCTCCCTACACGGACCCAGGCTTACTCTGTGTTCCATCTGCATGAGTCCCGGTACGCAATGAGGTGTGAGCCATCATCCGCTCCATGTTCTAGATGAGGAAACGGGAGGCTCAGAGAGGTGAAGGGACATGTCCAGGGTCACACAGCTAGAGAGTTGCAGAGTGGGAAACAGCTGGGCCCCAAAGCTGAGGCTGCTTCCCCTGCCATGTGGCCATTCACATTAAGTGTATGCGGTGCTGGTTCCAGGTGAGGCAAGGAATCCCACAGTGCTCTCCAGGGCTGCTCTTCAACCCAGGGGAAACTTCTGGCCCTCCTGCTGACAGGCTGCCTGGAGACTGGCCCCGGGATATCCATACCAAGGCTTATGTGGGCCCTGCCTCTGGTCTAACCCAAACCTGGAGCTCAAGGGATATGAAAACAATCCGTGGCCATCTGTCATTCCTTGTCCTATTCCTATGAACACATACTAAGTTTTCCCAAGTTCTTGTGACAAATGCTGGGGGCTTAACTGGGCAGCCTTTAGGATTTGGAAAACAGGCGTGCTGACTGCAGATAAGAAACACACAACCGGTTGCTCTGTTCTTCATTATGCCTCTGCTCCAAAGCAACCCATGGCTCCCTACTCCTAGTGGCACCGAATCCCAGCTCCTCGGCCTGGCATTCAAGGCCCTCTATCGGTGGGCCCAGGGCTCCCGTTCCAGATCTGTCACCTGTTGCTTTCATACATGTCCCTGGGCCTCCTGCCTGGCCGGACTGTGCATTGGACCCCAAACAATTCTTGGTTCTTCCCACCTCTGCACCTTTGCCCATGCATGCCCCACGTAGAATTCCAGGTCTCCTGTCAAAGTCCCACCCTTGGCCGTCCACAGCCCTGTCTGTATCTCTCCACTTCTGCATGCCCTTGCCCTCGGCTCCTCCCATTTCACTGTTTTACCAGAGCCTTTGAGGATTCCCCCAAAGCTTGTCTGATGAGCTCATGGCCAGAGGGGGTTCAGGGTACCCTCTGGATGAGAGAATCCAGGTCCAGGGGGAAGCACACAGGTAATGGGTATGGCGCCTCCCCCTGCCAGTCCCCCCCCCAACACTGTCCATATGTAGAGGTTGTTGGCTGTGCCGACCTGGACGTCACTCCTTGCTCCTGCTCCCCCTGCCTCTACCCTGTCTCCCAGCCCCCTGTGGCCGCACTCCCCCCATGCAGAGGCCATGTCCCACAGCCCAGGCTCTGAGTTCTAGGCTCCTGAAGCATCCACTCGGGGCTTGTCAACTCCTCCTCTGACACTCCTGACCCTCGTGACCACAGCGGACTGGAGGCCACCACCAACAGGAACCAGGACAGAAAGATGCCCTCGGGGAGGCCCAAGGTAGCAGTCGCCCCATGCAGAGGAAGTGGAGGTTGATCCAGGAGGCTGGAGCTATGGGTGCAGGTGCAGCCCTCGCTCTCTCCTTAGTGAAATGGGGGTCACAGTCATATCTGCTTTATTGCGATGGAGTTAAGGTTGTGGCCTCTATGACCCGTAGGTCATTAGTCCACAGACAGGATGTGACCCTTATGATTATTGTCCCCAAACCCCCAAAGACAGTAGGCAGGTGTTGAATCTAAGACGACACCCAGTAGGACGAAAGCTCAGGTCCCAACACCATATGCTATTGGGCAAACTGGGGGCATTTTGATAAGTCTGGCACAAGCTAAGTCTCTGCCAGGTAGGAAGCCAGATTGGGGGGTTTGCAGAGGACATGTGGGGTCAAGGAGAGCCCCTGGGAAATGAGGTGAACTATTTCTCCTCACCGTGTTCTTA